GTTTGGGATGATGGGTACGTGTCGCCCCACGAGCTGCCCTCCGTCTCCAGCACTCGACTCTCTCCGGAGAAGTTCTCGGTCGAGACGGAGACTTTGGGTTCAGGGGTTTGGATTTTCTGCTCGGGTATTTCGGTCACTACGATCCAATCGGCCGCCGTCGCCGGACCGTCCTGTGCGGGTCGACTGGTCTGATTGTCTCTTGGTCCGTCTGTTGTGGCGTTTGGTGGGACTGTCGTCGGTACGACTGAACTCGTGGGCGGAAAGGAGGTGATTAATTTATCAGTGACGGTTGAAGGACTGGGCAGCCACGAGTGGCTCCACCATGACACCAGTCCTATAGAGACACTCGGGTATTTCGGTCACTACGATCCAATCGGCCGCCGTCGCCGGACCGTCCTGTGCGGGTCGACTGGTCTGATTGTCTCTTGGTCCGTCTGTTGTGGCGTTTGGTGGGACTGTCGTCGGTACGACTGAACTCGTGGGCGGAAAGGAGGTGATTAATTTATCAGTGACGGTTGAAGGACTGGGCAGCCACGAGTGGCTCCACCATGACACCAGTCCTATAGAGACAAATACAATACAATTATAGTGTTAATTATAAATAAAGTTCAATAGAAATATTTAAAAAAATTATAAATAATAAAAGCCCATAAAAAATGACTAAGATTTAAAATAAAATCTAAATTAGATATAAAATAAGTCAATTATATATATATGAAAAGTTCATTTGCAAAAACAGATAACTCAGTTTCAAAAATCATGCTTTTTCATTGTGCATTCCAATTAATCTCAATCAAACTGCAGGAACACACACACATATATTATGTAGACAAAAACTTTTATTTTGGATGTGATTAATCACGATTAATCGTTTGACAGCACTAAAAAAAGTTAAACAGAAATATAAAAAAAGACAAAAGCACATACCAAAATGACTGAAACTAAAACTATACAAAAAGCTACCTCAAAATGTTAATAAATACTAATAAAATAATCAATAATATATTAATAAATAGTATAACCTACAAATAATACTAAAATAAAACTTAATTAATTTCTCCATTAACTGAAATAAAGCTGCAATAAAATGAAATATGAAAATTTGATGAAAAAACTAACTGACAAAACTTCGATGAAAAATGTTGCCTTGGCAACTAACTGAAATATAAGCTGAAGCTGAAGTACAAAAAATGACCAAAACTAAAATTAAGTTAAAAAGTAATATAAATAAAAATCCAAAACTACTAAAAATGATGAAAGCACATAACAAAGAGACTAAAACTTGCAATAAATATTAATAAAATAATAATTTTATTCAGAATATTAATAAATACTATAATAGTAGCTTATAAATAATTCTAAAATAACACTAAAACTTTATTACAGGCTATACTATTATAGTATTTATTAATATTCTGAATTAAACCTTTATTTTATTTTTAAGTTTTAGTCTTTTTGTTACGTGCTTTTGTCATTTTTTAATTTTAATTACATTTTTTGTCTTTTTTTTTTGTCAATTTCACATTCATCATCACATATCAACCTTTTTTCATCTGTTTGCCTCAAGCAAATAAGCAGCACTAACAAGGTAGAGACTAAAAACACGCTTTCAGTAATGAGACTGATTAGTTAAAGACTCATTTCCAATGAGTTATTCAATGGGGTTATTCAATCAGCAGTTGTGTTGGATTCATTCCTCCGATCTGTTTTTTGTCTCTAGAGAGCGGCGAACCGTCTGCCAGACTCTCATTACATATTCACTTGACTCCAGTTCTTATCTACTCGTTTAAGACTCTTCTCAAGTCTGTTAGTGGTCAAGATTCACTAATATCATTACTATTGCTCATTTTAAGATTAGTGACCTGAACCAAATGTCAAATGTGTGTAACTCCATCGGTTCATGAATGATTCCTCAAATCATGTGTCTCAAGGTGATAAGATGCACCATTTTCATCACGTAAGGCTGGAATAATGGCTTTTGAAATATGAACAGATTTGAAAACACTAGGCATCATATACTTGATGACACTGTAAACAGTTACAAAGGAAAACTGGTCAATGTGCAATGAAATCAATTGGGATGATGATGGTGGATGATGATGGAAAAATTTGAAAATGGTTTGAAATTTACATTTTGTAATTCTGAGTTCATATCTCGCAATGCTGACTTTTCCACCTGCAAAATTGCGAGGAAAAAAAGTCAAAATTGTTAGATATGTAGATAGATGTTAGAAATTAGAATTGAATTGAACTTGAATAAACTTGAGATATAAACTCAGATTTATGAGAAAAAAAAAAAAAAGAGTCTGAATTGTGAGAGAAAAACACTTGGCCAGTGCATGTGCTTGCGTTCAGTTATGAATTGCATGCCGACACATTTCGCAATGCAACGATGCACAAAATCAATCTTCATCGCTAGAAGCTAATAACCGATTGCTAGTACGGCCGCAGGCCAAACGCTCACAGCTGCATTTGTTTCTGGCCCAAGGCAGCATCCTAATTTAAATGAACCCTCACAAATGAGTGCTTTGAAACACTTCACATTATAAAACAGCGCACAAATATCGAGTGAACTGTCTGTTGGTTTTGGTATGTCTTGTATATCAGCAGAACAAACCACACAAAGCACTGGAGCATACAGTACAGTACAGTAAGTGTGCTTAAGTGAACAGTGTGGTTGCACTTTTCCAGTTTCTGGCTTCCCGTCTCAAGCTTTCAACCCTCAATTATGAAGCTTCCACTGGGACAGAGCCGAAATTTTGCCTTCATGGAAAATGGACTTTAATAATGTAGGCGACAGGCCTACTGTAAGTTTCCATTTGCCGTTAAACATTAATGCTGCCGGGTTCAGTTTGGGCCAAACAAGGTATCTGTATTAATGAAGACAGGAGGGCAGAGAGGACGCCAACTCAAATCCTCAAACTCTAACGCTCGGCCCTCCTCGACAAACGGAGAACACAATCTCAGGTTGTGGTTGAAGTGAAGCTGACAGAATAACATCAATGATCTCAACTTCCTCCTCTCGTTGTCCTGACTTCCTCCCGCTGGACCGGAGCTTGATTTATCCGACTAACATCACCCTCTCTCAGTGATGACGAGCAACTAAATCACACTTGAGTAGGGCCCATGCTTTCACAAAAAGCATGTCTAATAAAGTGCAATCATGAAACTTCTACTATTTAACAACAGTATATTTAAAAGTTATATAAAAAAAATATTTTAAAAATCTATAAAAATGACAAAAGCACAAAACACAATGACTGAAACTAAAACGGAAAACATAAAAAAAGAGCTGCTATTTTTTAAAAGCTTTTTTTTTAATGTAACATTATTTTTATTTCAGTTTTAGTGACTTTAGTGACTTCAACTTATTTTATTTTAGTTAGTTGCCAAGGTAACATTTAACATTTTTATTTAAGTTTTTTTAAAGCTAATTTATAATTCAAAATGTAAAAAAAAAAAAAAGTATATAAATAATATTAAAATAACACAGATTAAAGTTGTTTTTACTTAATGCACTTAAATATAATTCAATTTGTAAGGCCTAGTTCCTAAATTCAGTTTTCCCATTTTAATTTGTTCTGAATTCCATTTTTTCCATTCTGTTTTAATGGTTAAATAAAATTTTAGTAATCAAAAAAACATGGCTAATTAATAGAAATAAAGGAACTTATACTAACAACAATTTAAAATTTTTTTTTTACAAATATAAACATTTTTAGGTCCCTATAAAATGAATTTCCCCCCCAAATTCAGATTTTTTTTCTGGATTCTGTTTTAATGGTTACATTAAATTTTAGAAATCAACCTATAAAATGAATTTCCCCCCCAATTATTATTATTATTATTATTAGAATTACCCTTTTCTGGATTCTGTTTTAATGGTTACATTAAATTTTAGAAATCAAAAAGCATGTCTAATTAATCAAAATCAAGAAACATACCAGTTAACGACAATTTATTAAACGTTTAACAAAAATAAAATTTTTAGCACCCAATGAAATCTTTTTTTTTTTCAAATTCTGTTTTAGTTTGTTTATATTCTGTTTTAGATTTTAATAATAAAAAAGTATCTCTAAATAGTTTAGTTTAGTCAAAATTGCTACATTTTTATCAAAATAATTTTACTTTGCTGCATTCTTATTTTCTACAGTGTTTTAAAGAAAGTATTGATCTATTTCTCGAAGAAAAAAAAAACATATACTTTGAAAGTTTTTGTAAATATTCTGAAAAAGATTGTATTTTTATATGTTCTGTTATCATTTTAAAATGTTAGTAATTTTGTTGTGTTTCTCATTTTTACTAGTTTTTGTGTTTTTTAATACGTCCGTTTAGTTTTTAATTATTTTTCATTTACCATTTTTAGTTTATTTACTTTTTGTTATTTCAGTACTTCAAGTACTTCAAGCGGTAAAAACGGTCTGGACGGAACATCAAAAATTATTTCAAAATGTATAATTGATATTGTGGATTTTTAAAAATAGAGTTCAGATGCAAAAGCAAAAAGTGCTGTTTGAAATTTTCTTCAAAAATGAGCATTTTTCTCAGGCTCCCTTACCAAAAATAAGTATACTTCAAGTTTATTTTATTAAGTATACTTAAGTAAAGTTCAAGTATATTTTTAAGTACACTTTATGTAGTAGGTACACAAATATCAGTGTACTAGTATATTATTGTAAGTGTACTATTTCAATACACATTGGGACTAAATTGGCCCACTTTCTAGTATATAAAAGCATACTTTTAAGTATACTTTAAGTATAACAGTAGTAAACTTTGAACTAGTTTACATATATGTGTTTAGTTTGTACTGCAACTGTATATTTTTAAGTATACTTTATGTAGTAAGTATACAAATATCAGTGTACTAGTAGTATACTTGTAAGTGTACTATTTCAATACTCCTTGGGACTAAATTGGCCCACTTTCTAGTATATAAAAGTATACTTTTAAGTATACTTTAAGTATAACAGTAGTAAACTTTGAGTACACAACTAGTTTACATCAAAATGTTTAGTTTGTACTGCAACTATACTAAAGGTGAACTTATAGGTATACTGATAGTTTACTAATTAAATACTTGTAGTAGCATTTTTAGTACACTTTGAAGTATAATCTCAGTAAACTACTAGTTTATATAATACTAGTTTTATACTGCAAGTATACTCGTGAGTTTTCTTTAAGTGAACTTTACATCATACTTTCATACTTTAAGTATACTACTATGTTCCTATTTAGGTATTAATTTGTATATATTTTGTTATATAAATATCTGAACATACAAAACATCAAAAGAACAGGGTATCTGCTTGTAAATAAACATTTTATTCTAGCGTCATGCATTCTTTTTTATAAACACTTGAATGTGGGTAAGTTTAATAAATAAAAAAATAAAGAAATAAACAAAAGCTGAAAAAAAACCTATGAATTGTATTCAGAATGATAATCCAAACGTAGATGGAGTCAACCAACACCCCAAAGCTTGACAGTCATTACCTCTTCATGGGTCTACAATTTATTCCATAACGTTACACAGTTTTGATGCTGTTTTATGTCTGATGATCGTGTTAGAATACATGTGGAAGCATCTGTTGTTTCGGTTTCTTCTTCACTTGTGTTTTGGAAATTCTGTACAGAAGATGTGTAATAGCGCCCCCTACAGTATAACAATGAAAACATGGATTCCCTAAGCGCTAAGTATAGCTTAAATTTATTTTTTACGTCAATAAGTCAAGTATACTTAAATGTCATTTTAAGTATATTTCTGAGAAGTATATAAAGCACATCTCTGAAAAGTACATAAAAAGTAGACTGAAAGTATACTTTCCTATTTATTAGTTTAAAAGAAGTATACTAATAGCACACTTGAATAAACTTCTTTTTCGTAAGGGCTTCTATGTTTATGTTCAGATATTCAGATATCAAAAGAACGTATTCATTGCTATTAAAGTGAAATTACTGAACCTACACATAGGATCCTGAGAAAAATGCTCATTTTAGAAGAAAATGTCAAACGGCACAAAAGAGGCTTTTGCATCTGAACTCTTCAAATATTGATGTTGATAATATCGCCCAGCCCTACTTAAAATGCATTTTTCCTTTCAGAAAAAATTCTGTAAATCAGTCGTTTTTGTTGTGTCGCATCCATTTCTCTCACCGATCCGTCAGAAGTCCTCAGCTACAGTGAAGATCAGAAACAGAAACCCTTTTCTTTCATATTTACCTGATCCGGGCGTAGCAGTGGGTCTGCCGTCCGTTGCGGGCGTCTCCGTCGCAGCCGTGCTCTTGGTCGTGGCCTCCGCTTCACGTCCAGTCAAGTAGCTCCAGGGTTTCCATAACGAGCTGACGATGTTGGTGAGGGAACCCTTGGCCTTTTCTTGAGGAGCCTCTGAAGGAGCCGCAGGACTCACGGATTGACCGGACAGACCTTCGTCCTCGTCCTCTTCCTCTCGGGCCGAGCCGCCAGGACTCAGATCCGGAAGCACCTGTCGGCTGTCTGGGAAGGCGTCCAGCTGGCTGCTCCAGTCCATAGACGTGTCTCCGGCTCGCAGACGGACTGTCAGATACTCGGCCGAGAGCTCGGCGCCCTCAGCAGCCATCAGCGGCTCTTTGTCCAGATCCACCTGTCCGGTCCAGTTAGCGGGTCGAAGGTCAGGCAGGTCCGGCTGGCCGGCAGTCTGTGCGTCTGAATACAGTCAGATACAAGCTAATTTAACACCGAAACAACACTTTTTACTTTCAAGATATGACACTTTTCTAAGCGAACTGGACATTTAACAATAATTCAGTTTGCTCATTCATTGGCTGCACTGCGAATACAATAAATAACAAACTTTACCAACATACACGACAAAAGTTTGAGATTGGTAAGAGTCTCTTCTGCTCACCAAGGGTGCATTCATTTTATCCAAAACACAGGAAAAACATTTAAATATTATTGCCATTTAAAACAGCTGAATGTATGTTAAAATGTAATTGATCAAAGCTGAATTTTCAGCATCATTACTCCAGTCTTCAGTGTCACATGATCTTCAGAAATCATTCTAATATGCTGATTTGCTGCTCAAGAAACATTTCTGATTATTATCAATGTTGGAAACAATGCTGTGCTGCCCGATATTTTTGTGGAAACGGTGATGCATTTTGTTTTTCAGGATTCACAGATGAATAGAAAGTTCAAAACAACAGCATTTATTTTGAAATAGAAATCTTTTGAAACATTATAAAAGTCTTTACTGTCACTGTTGAGCAACTTAATGTATCCTCCACGAATAAAAGTGTTAATTTCTTTAAAAAAAAAAAAATAAAATCACACTGACCCCAAACTTTTGAATAGTTGATTGTCAGAAAGCTATTTGTTTATACTTTTGATGCAGCTATAATTTATATAACACACTTGCTGGAACATTTCTTAATCATTTTCAACACATTCTAACTTCTACAAAAACTTGTACCATCACATGAAATATTTAAATCAGTAGAATTTAAATCAAAACATTCTAAAAATGTTTGCAAAGTCATAGAAACAGAACTGAAAAGCAGCAAAAACAGCCTGAGAGGGTGAAAATGGTCCTGAATAAAAAAAAAATCTTAAATATAACTATAATATATAATATATATAATATAATATAAGTAATATAGCTATATTAATGCAAAAAACCTTGATTAATATTATAAGTGCACTTTTGTGAAAAAATAAAGATAAAAAATGGTCCCTTTAGAAATAAAACAGACGTTCTGCTGATTAGCATGTCAGTATTTTGTTGCAAAGAAAGATGGGTGAATTAAAGAGGCTGTTTAAGAGTTTAAAGGGGGGTCTAATGCTATTTCATGCATGTTGAGTTATTTACACTGTTATAGAGTTGGATTCTCATGCTAAACATGGCCAAATTATTTCTGTGCCAAATACACTCCTTCCGGTTTCGTACAAGTTTCATTAAGTTTTCATTAAGCCTCCAGGAGCTCGGCTGTTTTTGGAGAGAATCGTAAACTGTATCTTTCTTTTATAAATATGAGAAAACTAAAGACTCTTTGGAGATATGAAGGATGCAAAACGTACTACTTTAAAGGTACTCAAGATTAACATGAGATTGGGTGAAACTGTGTGTTATGTCCCCTTTAATTTCTAAATGAGGATGAAAATGATCCTGAAAAACTATTCTCTGATGCAAAAACCTTTAAGTGGACTTCTGGGGAAAAATAAGAAGTTCTGATGGATTCAGTATTTAATCTTGTTGCAAAGAATGATGAACTCTTCTCAGTATAAATGAAAGTGAGTGAGCGAAAACACAAATGAACACCCAAATAATCCAGTAATCGCTGAAATGAATCGTACCGCTGCTGGAGGAAAACGATTCGGATGCGTCCTCTGAACCGCCGTGACGTCTCGCCCAGCTGTTAGTCTGATTACACACGAGATTCAGAGCCCGTCACGCTGAACGGCGTTCCCCTAGCGTTTTCGACGCAGCTCGAGTTCCTGAAGAGGAACTAAAGACTCTTTGGAGATATGAAGGATGCAAAACGTACTACTTTAAAGGTACTCAAGATTAACATGAGATTGGGTGAAACTGTGTGTTATGTCCCCTTTAATTTCTAAATGAGGATGAAAATGATCCTGAAAAACTATTCTCTGATGCAAAAACCTTTAAGTGGACTTCTGGGGAAAAATAAGAAGTTCTGATGGATTCAGTATTTAATCTTGTTGCAAAGAATGATGAACTCTTCTCAGTATAAATGAAAGTGAGTGAGCGAAAACACAAATGAACACCCAAATAATCCAGTAATCGCTGAAATGAATCGTACCGCTGCTGGAGGAAAACGATTCGGATGCGTCCTCTGAACTGTCGTCTCTGGTCATGTACCTCCACGGTCTCAGTAAGGACTTCACGATGCCTGTGAGAGTCTCCTGCACTTTCTTTTCTGTTGACACATTCAATTCAATCACTCAGATTCTCTCTCCAAACACATCACTCAACCGCTGGAGCATGTGCAAGAAACGGCAAGGTCACGGGTTCGACTAGCAGAGACACACGTGCTGATAAAATGTAAACCTTGAATGCGCTGTAAATCACTTTGGATTAACGTCTGTCAGATGAATAAATCTAGATCAATATGTACAGAATGACATACCAGCTACTATTTTATACTGTGCAAAGTATGCAAATGTTATTAATGCATGGAATATCTGACTACATTTATAAATGTGAAGAATACAAAAACAGCACTGAATAATGCAGTGAACGACTTTCCATTTCCAGTGAGACAAATTTAAAAAAAAATTTACATAATCTTGACCATTATTTGCCTTATTTAACTTAGTATGCAAAATGTCGACAACTTTTTAGACAATCTTAAACTTTTACACACTAGATTGATTTAAAAATGCAAATAAAGAAGCTTATTTGCAAGTGAGTGTGAGGTTGTATGTCCTCTCTACGCAATTTTAAAAATGCAAACTATCATTACTTCCACCATTACAGCTGTGTTACAAAAAGTATGCAATATACTGTAGATATTGTGCAGTATGCTGAACATCTCCAATAATAATATTTACATTAGAAATCTCTTACTGTACTTTTTGATCTATTTAAGGCCTCCTTGCTAAATAAACGTATTAACTTGTTAAAAAAAAAGCTTAATGATACCAAACTTTCGAACGGGAGAATATGTGTCAAAGGTATTTATAGATAAGTTTTATATATAATATACTGACAGCTATAAATTCATATAAACACTTTTGTTGGAAAATACTACTCATTTCTGTTTAGTTTTCAACCCATTTTAACTAATGAGCATAAGACTAATTTACATTAAGTAAAACTAAATTAAATTAAACCTGAAAAACTAAATTAATTATATTAATAATAAAACAATAAGTACTAAAAAATCTAATAAAAATAAATTAAGAAAAATGAGAGTCATCAGACTTACTAATTGCTTTCTGGGTTACTACCGATTTTTTTTGTAACTAAAATAAATAAACAAATAAATAAATTGCAACTTGTTAGTGTAATGCTGTATTAATAAATAATAATAATAATAATAAGTATTATTATTATTATATTTCTTATATAATATGCCTTAATATTATGTATTAAATACTTATTTACAAAGTAAATAAGTATACTAAATGATATTCTATTAAATATGCTATGTATTAAATTATTTATTCATTTAGTACATAGCATACTTAATAGAATATCATTTAGTATACTTATTTACTTTGTAAATAAGTATTTAATACATAATATTAAGGCATATTATATAAGAAATATAATTATATAGAAATATACTTATTATTATTATTATTATTTATTAATACAGCATTACACTAACAAGTTGCAACATCACCAAAGTGACATATTAAAATCAGAAGATTTAAATATAAATCCAAACAAGGTTTGCAAGGTCATTTAAATACCAAACTCTTAAAGGTACAAACAGCAAAAACAGCATGTTTAATTCTAAACAGAGGGTGAAAAATGGACCTGAAAAACTAAATTATGACTATTTTCACATGAAAACCATGACTAATACTACATGAATGGATTCTATGATGGACTGAGTATTTAATCTTTGTTGCAAAGAATTATGGGGCCTGTACCATGAAGCCAGATTAGCTGGCTAGCAGTGTTAATTTTGACAGCAAATTTTGATTTAGTTTTAGTCTGTGTAAATGTATTTAAATTCATATTTTTCAAACTTTTTAATCTTTGGCAGTGAATCACAGGTAAAGGGCATGTGAAAGGCTGTTCATGACTGATGTCACGCTTTCAAGTGTTCGTGCGCTTGCAATGACTTACAAAGATACATAACAGCTACAAGTGTATGCACTACTTGCTTTATTCTCTTGCATCGTCAGATTTATTCATATGTCTGCTCTTCTCTTACTCCCACATATTGGTAAGTGTATGTTAGCTTATCCCGCCGGTTCATATGTACGCATAACCTCAGAACCATGCAGCAGATTCGTTCTGAATGAATCTCTTCCCAAATTGTCCCTTAATTACATGATTTATATATTTACTATAGCCGTAATCCATTACACAAGCCATATTAAAATAATAATAATTATTAATCTTTTACTTTAAATTAATATAAATATATACAAATAATATAGAATGTAAATTAGCTTTAGAATCAATAGATAAAACTTTAAACATGACTACATAAGAGTTTAGATTTTTGAGTCTCTGTATACCTATATGTGACCCTGGAGCACAAAAGCAGTCATAAGTAGCACAGGTATATTTATGCATGAATGAATGATATTTTTTGCAATTTTACACATAATAATCCACGATGATCACATTACACAAAACTGAAATTGCACGTCAAAATAACACATTGTCAATATTTTTTGAGACCCCCCAAAATTTCACAAATCACGTTTTCAGGGGAGCCCAGGTCTTATTAAGGGGAGCCGAGCTCCCCCTAGCTCCCCCGTAGTTCGCACCCTGCTTGTAACCCTGAGTTTGTTCAGCCACCATCATGGTACAGGCCCATGGACTCTTACAGTTCATAACATCCCTTAACCATGATCAAATCCCTATTGCATGGGCTAGATCAAAAAATAACCAATAATAATGGTTTCTGTAATGCACGACTGTGTAACATGCAAAATTGCTAATGCATACCTCTATAGCAGAAAGCATCGAAGCGCGCCGTCCCATTGTTCAGTTCTGACGGTGAAACGGTTCGGACGCCAGGTTCTCCAGCGGGACAGTCCGAGCGCAGCAAGCTGATGGAAAACCTCACGCTGCCGTCAGACAGCCAGGCCGGCTCGCAGTGCTCCAGCCCAGAGCTCCAGGCCAGATAGAGCTGACCCACGGTCGCTAGCCGGCCGCCCAGAGCTGCACAGTGAGCCACGGCCTCCGGGCGAGTCAGTCTGTCAGGAACACCGGCGGGAAACACTTCACCTGCACAACCAGTGTTGGGGAAAGTTACTTTTAAAAGTAATGAATTAAAATATTGCGTTACTCCCTAAAAAAGTAACTAATTACATTACTTTTATGGAAAGTAATGCGTTACGTTACTTTTGCGTTACTTTTTAAATCTGGGCAGGGCTTGCTTGTTTGTTTTTAATATAAAAAGTTCTATTTTTAGCAAATGTAAAAGCCCTTTCACACCAAAAAGTGAAAGGAATAAGCCTCAGGCTGAAAGAAAAGTAAATTCACGTACAGTAGAACGCAGGAGAAGAAGGTTCAATACTCTTTAGCAATAAAAAAAAAAACAATGAAGCACAAATGTTAGTTTATCTAAAGTCATTTTTGCTTATTAGTATGGTTGAAATGGATCATCAAAGGTCAGCAGCAAAGACATTGGTTAATAAAATGGGATTAAATACATTTAAATTTAAGATATTTAACTATTGCAGGTTTGCATCATATTTGGAGTTTGCATTTCACTGTTTTAATTCATTTTGATGAATACTGAATCTGTCTTTTTGCGAGCAAGACGAATTAATGCATGTTCACATTTAGTCTAGAACTACAGTAACATCAGCCCAGAGCTGCACAGTGAGCCACGGCCTCCGGGCGAGTCAGTCTGTCAGGAACACCGGCGGGAAACACTTCACCTGCACAACCAGTGTTGGGGAAAGTTACTTTTTAAAAGTAATGAATTAAAATATTGCGTTACTCCCTAAAAAAGTAACTAATTACATTACTTTTATGGAAAGTAATGCGTTACGTTACTTTTGCGTTACTTTTTAAATCTGGGCAGGGCTTGCTTGTTTGTTTTTAATATAAAAAGTTCTATTTTTAGCAAATGTAAAAGCCCTTTCACACCAAAAAGTGAAAGGAATAAGCCTCAGGCTGAAGGAAAAGTAAATTCACATCCGTACAGTAGAACACAGGAGAAGAAGGTTCAACACTCATTAGCAATAAAAAAAAAAATTAGCACAAATGTTAGTTTATGTAAAGTCATTTTTGCTTATTAGTATGGTTGAACTGGATCATCAAAGGTCAGCAGCAAAGACATTGGTTAATAAAATTTGAAAAAGTAACTCAGATATTCTCTTGTAAATTAAAAAGTAATGCGTTACTTTACTAGCTACTTGAAAAAAGTAATCTGATTACGTAACTCACGTTACTTGTAATGCATTACCCCCAACACTGTGCACAAGCACATGAGCAGAACAACTGGACAGACGGCTTGTGCATTCAGCTGAATCAATGCACAACACTTTCAGTAAATATGTATGGGGAGTTTATAATAAATGTTACAAAACAGCATCATGCAACAAACAGCATCGTCAAAAACCCATTACATTGATTTCTATTACATCTGAAAGCATCTTAACATTTGTCATCCATAAATTACGGCATGATGATTTTGGTAAATGATTAAAAATGCACCTTTTTTAAAACGGTTATGAATTATTCATATGTTGTGACTATTAGCTCCACATACATTTCTGTGGTGTTATTGTAATAGATAGATAGATAGATAGATAGATAGAAATTAAATTACAATAATACATTAACTACATTAAAGTGCCCCTATTATGCCATTTTTAAGGTTGCTAATATTGTTTTATGAGTCTCCTAAAACAGGTTTACATGCATGCAAGGTCATAAAGGTTTTCTCAAAAAATCTGAATCAGTCTCTCTAAACCCCTCCTTTCCGTGAGCCCTCACTGCTGTGATTGGTCAGATGGCGCAGTCTTTTGTGATTGGTCCAGAGCCGTAGAGAGATTGTCTCTGGATTGGTCTAACGCGTACATCGCGTGTCGGAAACAAAACGCCCATTGCCATGACGGAATGACAGCCCTGGAGACTTGTCAATACATAGAAAAGATGGTATCGATTGTACCTTACCAATTCGAACCGGAGTCTGATGATGAAACGGTTGAAGTGGCTGATCGACAAGAGACTGATTCGCAAGCACGACTGGAGCAGGACGTTACTAGTACTATCATAATAGTCGGATATGGTTTGAAACATTTGATTGATCCCATTTGTCCATGTTAAACGTATTTTCCGGAATCTCACCTTGCATGTCATTGGCGAAACAGTAAACATCAAACAGTTCCGAAGGGTCCCGTTTCCCATAATTCCTCACTCCAGGAGAAAACTCTGCGTGTCCATAGCAGCCGAGCTCGGGTCTCTGTATGGGATACCTGCGGAGAGGAGAATATCCATATGTAAATAAAGCTGTGCTGTCATGGAGATGCTAATAAATAATTTCACTACAATATTATAATAGGATCCTTATAATAGCTCAAGGTGAAGCATGTCTGTCTGGCTGGAGTTTAATAGTCCTTCATCAACACTGAAAGATATGCTGTGATTGCTAAAGTTCACAAACAACTGTCCAAACCGTCAGGAGGAACTTCACAAAGTCAGTTCCCTTTCAGTCGGTCACTCCGAGTCACGTCGGTGACCGACGAATTGGGATCTCGCCTGAGAGCCCTATCATCTTCGAGTGTAAACTAAACGAGGCAATGCACATTGGCATGCGATAATTGCATCCGGCTGCTTGCCCGAGCCTGACCCAGAATTGGCGGCTATCCAAGGGCTGTAAGTTCTCGTCCATTCTTACGGCCAAGGCTTACAGAGCCGCTGGACAGGCTGCCTCCGCCCTGCTCACCATGGCACTCCTGCAGGTATACCAGGCCAAGGCACTAAAAGAGTTGCACGAGGGTAGTTCTGACCCCGGGCTGATGCAGGAGCTGCGCACCGCGACGCCCCGGGGCCTACGCAAGTATGCGTTTCCCCCAGTGAGCCTACTTGCACAGACACTGTGCAAATTCAGGGAGGTTGAGGAGCAGGTCCTGCTAGTTGCGCCTTACTGGCCCAACCGGACCTGGTTCCCAGAACTGATGCTCCTCGCGCATTCCTCTGAGGAAAGATCTACTTTCTCAGAGACGGGGCACCCTCTGGCACCCGCGTCCAGATCTGTGGAACTTCCACGTGTGGTCCCTAGACGGGACGCGTAGGTCCTAGGTGATCTACCCCAGGCGGTGGTAGACACCATCACTTCGGCAAGAGCACCCTCTATGAGGCATGCCTATATCTTGAAGTGGAACCTTTTCGTTGAACTCGCCCTGAGAGCGACGAAAGTCACTGCGCACTCCCTGGGTCAGACGATGGCCACGTTGGTGGTCCAGGAGCGCCATCTCTGGCTGAACCTGGTAGATATGCGGGAGACCGACAAATATTGTTTTCTCGACTCCCCTATCTCCCAGGCCGGCCTATTTGGCGATGCAGTCGAGAGCTTTGCCCAACAGTTCTCGGCTGCCCAGAAGCAGACAGAGGCTATCAAGCACACCCCGCCGCCGGCTGCAGCTGCAGATGCCTCTCCAGACACGTCCCATTGCCAGCTGTTCTATTCCCTGACCGGGGGAACCCTCGGCATGGATGCACTGGTGCACAGCTGGCCCCAGGGTCAACGCAAGTATGCGTTTCCCCCAGTGAGCCTAGGGGAACCCTCGGCACGGATGCACTGGCGCACAGCTGGCCCCGCGGTCTACGCAAGTATGCGATTCCCCCAGTGAGCATACTTGCACAGACTTTGTGCAAAGTCAGGGAGGATGAGGAGCAGGTCCTGCTAGTTGCACCTTACTGCCCCAACCGGACCTGGTTCCTGGAACTGATGCTCCTTGCGACAGCCCCTCCCTGGGCTCATTCCTCTGAGGAAAGATCTACTTTCTCAGAGATGGGCCAGATCTGTGGAACCTCCACGTGTGGTCCCTAGATGGGACGTGTAGGTCCTAGGTGATCTACCCCAGGCGGTGGTAGACACCATCACTTCGGCAAGAGCACCCTCTATAAGGCATGCCTATACCTTGAAGTGGAACCTTTTCGTTGAATGGTGCTATTCTCACCGGGAAGACCCCTGGAGATGCCCGATCAGAGCTGTGCTCCAAGAGGGGTTGGAGCGAAGGCTGTCTCCTTCCACCCTAAACGTATATGTTGCCGCAATTGCCACACATCACAATCCTGTAGACGGTGAGTCTTTGGGAAAGCACAACCTGATCATCAGGTTCCTGAGGGGCGCAAGGAGATTAAATCCTCCTCGCCCTAACCCCGTACTCTCTTGGGATCTCCCTCTGGTGCTTAAGACATTGCAGAGGGCCACTTTTGAGCCGCTGCAGTCTGCAGAGCTGAGAACTCAGTTGATAAAGACAGTGCTCTTAACTGCGCTGGCTTCCATCAAGAGGGTAGGGGACCTGCATGCATTTTCAGTCAACGAATCGTGCCTGGAATTCGGGCCAGCTAACTCTCACTTTATCCTGAAACGGATATGTGCCCAAGGTTCCCACCACGCCTTTCAGGGATCAGGTGGTGAACCTGCACAGGTAGAACTGTTTGCCTCTCCAGACATGTCCCATTGCCAGCTGTTCTATTCCCTGTCTAGGGGAACCCTCGGCACGGATGCACTGGCGCACAGCTGGCCCCGCGGTCTACGCAAGTATGCGATTCCCCCAGTGAGCATACTTGCACAGACTTTGTGCAAAGTCAGGGAGGATGAGGAGCAGGTCCTGCTAGTTGCACCTTACTGCCCCAACCGGACCTGGTTCCTGGAACTGATGCTCCTTGCGACAGCCCCTCCCTGGGCTCATTCCTCTGAGGAAAGATCTACTTTCTCAGAGATGGGCCAGATCTGTGGAACCTCCACGTGTGGTCCCTAGATGGGACGTGTAGGTCCTAGGTGATCTACCCCAGGCGGTGGTAGACACCATCACTTCGGCAAGAGCACCCTCTATGAGGCATGCCTATATCTTGAAGTGGAACCTTTTCGTTGAATGGTGCTATTCTCACCGGGAAGACCCCTGGAGATGCCCGATCAGAGCTGTGCTCCAAGAGGGGTTGGAGCGAAGGCTGTCTCCTTCCACCCTAAACGTATATGTTGCCGCAATTGCCACACATCACAATCCTGTAGACGGTGAGTCTTTGGGAAAGCACAACCTGATCATCAGCTTCCTGAGGGGTGCAAGGAGATTAAATCCTCTTCGCCCTAACCCCGTACTCTCATGGGATCTCCCTCTGGTGCTTAAGACATTGCAGAGGGCCCCTTTTGAGCCGTTGCAGTCCGCAGAGCTGAGAACTCTGTCAATAAAGACAGTGCTCTTAACTGTGCTGGCTTCCATCAAGAGGGTAGGGGACCTGCATGCATTTTCAGTCAACGAATCGTGCCTGGAATTCGGGCCGGCTAACTCTCACATTATCTGAGACCCCGGCCCGGATATGTGCCCACGGTTCCCACCACGCCTTTCAGGCATCAGGTGGTGAACCTGCAAGCGCTGCCCTCGAAGGAGGTAGACCCAGCCCTACCTCTGCTCTGTCCCGTTCACGCTTTACGTATGTAACCCTCGTTCCCTGAAGGAGGGAATGGAGACGTCGCGTCCCATCACCACAGTTGCTGTACGACCACGGGGCACCGGGTCACTGGCTCGGCTCCTCAGCGAAAACCAGAATATGCGTTGCACCTGCTGCCTACTTATGCTTGTATCGTGACGAGCAGCAGCTGGATGCAATTATTGCATGCCAATGTGTATTGGCTCATTTAGTTTACACTCGAAGATGATAGGGCTCTCAGGCGAGATCCCAATTCGTCGGTCACCGACGTGACGTCTCCATTCCCTCCTTCAGGGAACGAGGGTTATATACGTAACCGAGACGTTTAATTTAATCTATCTATCTATCTATCTATCTATCTAAATAAATACATAAATACATACATACATACATAAAAACTTTAGCTAAACAAATCTTTTAAAAATATTACTTTTATTTTAAATTAATAATAATAATAATAATAATAATTGTTGTATACATTGTGTAATGTATAATATTAATACACAATGCATAATTAAAATAGTAAAGTAATAATAAAATAATGTATTTCTTTTTACAAACTATTCTTATTCTTCTTATTATAGTTATATTAATTGTATATTATGTATTAATATTATGTATTTAATATTTATGATTTACTAAATTAATAAATATACAAATAATTTAATGTATAGAATTATAACAATATAAAAAATAATACAATAATAATAATTTTATTTATTTGATTATTTACAAAAAAATCTATGTATTTATATTATGCATTCAATATTTATTATTTACTAAATAAATAAACATACTAAATAATATACTATTAAGTATACTATGTACTAAATACATATGTGAATTTCTGAAAGCTCAAAGCAAACCTTCAGGAACAACCTTACAAACTGAGTTTAATTTGTGTAGACCCATAACAAAAACATCATTCATAAAATATTAATATATAATATTAATTCATAAATTATTAGTAAATTATTATTATTTCAAAATTATCATTATTTTAAATTATTATTTTAATTATTACTCATTAAAATTGTGTTTCAGGTTACAATCAAGTTTGACTCAACACTCAGTTTATAAAAAACCCCAGATATAATTTGTTTTAGCATTCTATTACACTCTCTGATATTTCCTGACTGATGCTCATGAGTCAAACCTGACGCTCTGGTCTCTGAGCCATCCGGCCGCACAGCTGTTCATGCCGGAGTGAAACGCCGCCCACAGCTGCTCAGGGGTCGCGACCTCAGCCGAGTTCTCCTCACACGCGCGAATGGCCTCGTCGAACGACAGCGAATAACGCTCCGCGGGAGAACGGTAGTGAAACACCACACCTGAAAACACAGAAACATGAACATCAGAAAACAACCAGAGGCGCAGACAAGCACTGGGGATAATAATTGGCCAATATTCATGTTTTTCAGTGGTCTTATACTTTTTTCTCTTTTAGAAGAGGTCAGAACAGTTTATTATATTTTACATTTATTTTACACTTGTCACAAAACAGTATTAATAAAATAATAATTAATAATAATATATAATATTAATCAATAAAAGTACTATTTCAATTTCTATTAAATTATTATTATTTTCAATTATTATTATTATTAATTATAACCACAACAACAATAATAAATAATTTAACATTTCGCCACCTTGGAATTATAAGGTTCTATCAGCATTCTGAGCAGTTTTGAGATATTGAGCTTCAAAATGTTTGTGTTCCATAGACTTCTGTAGATAGAACCCTTTTTGTTTTCTAAAAAAAAGGTCCAAAATGTACACAGCTTACAAAAGAAACATCACATAATGTAAATAAGTTGTCCCAGAATAAGAATATGTGAATAACTCAGATAGAACACCTTATAATTCCAAGGCGACGATTTTTAAAAATATATTTATTTTTTTATCATTTCTTTAATTTTCACTTATTAAAATTGTTTCAAATGACGATAAAGCTCAACTCGTCCCTTAGTTTGTAAAGACAAATATGAGTTTAATTTGTGTAGACTCATTACAAAAAGTATTAATAAAAAGTATAACGTTATTGATATATAATTAATATATAATATATAATTTTATTCATTTTAGTAAAACTAATGTATGTGCTTCTGTCATTTCTATTAGTTTTTTGTCATTTTTATAAGATTTAAAAAAATATTTCTACATAGAATTTATTTTAATTTTAGTTTTAAATAATTTACTTCAGCTTAAACTTCATTTCATCTCTAGTTTTCTTAGAATTTTCTAACTTCAAGTTTAGGTTTTTTATCTAATATTTATATTTTATTTTATTTCAGCTTTGTTCAATTACCAAACACAATTTTTAATATTTTTAGTTAACAATAACAACACTGTTTGAAAGACCATAATTTATCCTGAAATGTGTGTAATACTATAAAATAAGTATAAAAAAGTCCTGGAAAAGTACAGTAATCAAATATTAAATCATCAAGTGTCATTATTCAGCTCAATTCAATTTAGTCTTGGTTCAATAATAGTATAATAAAATAAAATTCAATAAAAGTGTCAGAACATTAAATCAATAATATCACTAAATATCAATCGTCTGTAACAGAGCATACATTATGTAGAACATTTGAGTTGATTTATCTGCGGTTTAGCGTAATTTCCCTCATTAGGTGTCACCTGTTTTCCTCAGAATTCACACAGCCCTCGTTCACAGGTAATCGATCTCACCGCTCTAATTAAAGAGTTACGGCCAGTTAAGCAGTTAATGAGAGCCTCTGATGAAAATTAAAATAAAGCCGAGCTAAAGTTAGACGGGAAATGAGGGAAAAAGCTGAAATGAATCTGATATTGACAGTCTGAATGGATGTAATGAGAGGGTAATTAATTCACAGCAGACTCCTGGACTCATAACGAGCCGCCGCTTTTCCTCAATGTTTATCTGAAAACTGCTGCTCACGATAATTTTAACTCGCTCACTGGGGGTTTACAGACAAATATATTGATCTGTAATTTTCTCTTAATTGAACTGAGAGAACCTACAACATTATTACTGCAGTCATTTTCTGTAAAGCTGATTTCAAACAATGTCCACTGTCAAAAGTGCTGTATAAATAAAACATTACACTATTATTTTATAAATATTATAAAATGATTTTTAAAAAACACATATTATACATTAGTATAATGTGTAAAAATATATTTTAAAAAACATATATATTAGTATTAAAATAATTATAAAAATATAATTTTATAATATAATATCTAAATGCAAAAAGTTTTTGTTTAAGTTTACATTTTTCTTCTAATCTAGATTTGTTCACAAATGTCAGGGCAGTGTTACTTTAGTATTATTTACAAACCATTATATTATTTATAAATATTTTAAATTATTTTAATATTTTCACTTTTCATTTGATTTTTAGGTTAGGTTTTAATAATTTTGTTATTGACAAATTTGTTGTCATTTTTAGTTATTTTTAAAATTTCTATTTAGATTTAATTTCTATTTATTAATTATAAAAATATAATTTTATAATATAATATCTAAATGCAAAAAGTTTTTGTTTAAGTTTACATTTTTCTTCTAATATTTATATGTTAGCTCATTTCAGATTTATTTCAATTAACAATATCTAGTATCTTCTATTAGGAAAAGTATAGTAACACCGGATTTTGAATATTAAATCAGCTCCCATTCATAAAAAATTATAAATTCAAATTCTCAATTTTTAGCTCTTGTTTACAATTTAAGATTATTTAAATACTATTACAGTATTTATTAATATTTTCGAATGAGCTTTTATTTTTATATTTTCAGTTTTCATTTTCACTTTAAAGTTTTAGTAATTATAATATCCTTTTGAAATTTGTATTATTTGTTTAAAGATTTTCCTACATATTTCGATACAGATTTTTTTTTTTAATTCAGTGTTATTAATTTTAATACTGAAGCTTAAACTTATTTCAGTTAATTCCTAACTTTCTCCAAAATTTTTCATCTAATATTTATATTTTAGTTTATTATAGCTTTATTTCAGCTTAGACAACAACAAGGATCATATTTTATACTGAAATCTGTGTAATGCTATAAAATATTTATTAAGTCTAGGAAGAATACAGTTAAATCATATTTAATATTAAATCAGCTCCTTTTCATAAACAACTATTAATTCAAACTCTTAATCTCAAACTATTAATTTCTAGCTATTGTTTACCATTTTTAAGGCAGTGTTATTTTATCACATTTGATTAATTCTGCAGCCTACAATAATTGAATATTACAGTTTTTTTCAACTGCTTGCACACAAAATCTTTTCTTGTCACACAATTTCTGAAAGCTGACACTCAAACAGCAGAAGCACACACCAAATCTGCAAAACCATACACTAATTCTCGGCCTTTGACTCAGTTTTCAATTTCATAAAACACTTTTTGCAAAACACAACACACAATTCTCTATGTAACACACACAAATCTAACAGGAATTGATATTATGGCAAAGGGGTTTGAATATTGTGTTTGTGATATTTTGAATGCAGTGCTTCATTTTGCAAGAGATGTGAGGCATTTTGCATTTTGTGTGTGCAATTCTTGGATTTGTGTGTAAAGTTTTGAAAAAAAGAGGCAAAAGTTTTGAAGATGTGTGTAAAGGCCCATTCACACCAAGCACGATAACTGTAAAGATAACGATAAAGATATAGTTCTAAAAATCGTTCTCAATATTAAAGAATAGCAGAGTCCACACCACAGCTATAACGATAAAGGCACAGAGAAACGATATCGCTGGAATCAGTTCCAGAACGATTTTTTTCCAAATAATTGACAGCCAATCAGAATCCATCCTGCTGTAACGAGCTGGAGAATTTAAAGCGGCAGACGCGTGTGCTCTTAGAATAAACAGACGATATCGTCCGCTGGTGTGGACGCTAATATCATTATCTTTATAGTTATTGTTCTTGGTGTGAACGGGGCTTAAAGGGCACCTATTATGCCCCTTTTTTACAATATATAATATGAGTCTCAGGTGTCCCCAGAATGTGTCTGTGATTTTTCAGCTCAAAATACTCCACAGATCATTCATTATATCATTTGTATCATATTATATCATATATCATCCATCCTCTGCACTTCAATAACTGTCTGGTTCAGCTCAGCTACCAAATCTGACCTCAGAAGACTACAGAGGGTAGTCCGGACTGCTGAGCGAATCATTCAAATACAAAATGCAGTTTTGAAATAATGATTTCATTTATTAAGGAAAATGTATTATGTTATTCGGTTAGCATTTATTTGTTTCAAGTAATGAAAATACTTTTATGGTTTTAGATTTCATTAATTATTCATTTTAGTTAAGTTAAACTAAATGAAAATGAAAAATGGTGCCTTGACAACTTGATGAAATAAAATAAATCTTTAAGTACTAAAATTACTACAACTAAAATAAATATACATTTAAATAAATATGAAAATTTTATTTTATTTCAGTTAATGTTTATTTAATTTCAAGCAATGATTTTTTTATGTTTGTAATTTTTATTAATTATTCATTTTAGTTATTTTAGCACTTCAAGTTAAACTAAAAACAAAACAAAAAACGAAATGTTGCCTTGGAATTTAAAAAAAACAAAACTAAAATTACTCAAACTAAAACTGAAATAAACATATAGATATAAAGTACAAATAAATATAATTATAAACATAATAATATTGTTTTATTTTATTATCAGTTAACATTCCTTTTCATGGTTTTAGTTTTAGTTCATGATGATGATGTCAACTGAAGAGAAAAGTAGTTCTTTGAGTTATTATATTTTGCTGAAAGATTATGAAGACAAATATTTCAATACATGCACTGATGAATCATTCACAATAAGAACATGAGTGTGATTTAAGGAAGCAAATACGACTCTTTTTCATTTGACATCAAGAGAAGTTCAGATTTTTTTAGATGTGATCCAAACAAAGGAAAAGCCCAGTTCACTGTTCCTCATAAAACCTGACGGATTATTACAGCAAAAGCCTTTGTAACGTCCTCAAACACAGAAAACACATGAATAATATTTGTTCTCCAGCCTGAGCGTCTGCTCTGGATCTCAGCGCAGTTCATTAAAACACTTCAGAGATGCGAGAGCAACAACAGAAAGATGAAGCTTCAGCTCACAATCCGACACTCAAGTGAGTTTGTTCTTCTAACAATGGGAAAGCTTTCGAAACGAAAAAGTTTTACAGCTGAACTCCATCATATTTTCGCTCGTATGAGCTGGATCTCAGTCTGATGTGTGTTCATGTGCATCTGAAGCTTTTTAGTTATCTGTCAGCTTCACTCTCAGTTCATCCCAGCAGATGAATCAGAATAAACACTGATGCACTGTAAATACAGTAGGAACACAGTCAAGGCTTTGTCGTCTAAAAGCTAAATGCATAAATGTGAATGTAAAGGTATCCCGTACAACTCCAATAATCTAAACCCA